TGCATGAGGTCGGTGAAGACGCGTGGTTCACTTTCGGGTCCACGGGTGGACTGGCCCATGTGCGAGGGGGAACCAGACCCGGCGACAATCTTGCCGACCTAGTGTTCACATTTCTTTTCGCTGAGATCTCTAATAGGATTCGCCGGCACTTCCATGACGCTGGCATTCACATTGATCTCCCCTGGAACTCGCATTGGCTATGCAATCTTGCTACTGATACGAAGCCAGCTGCTAGATGCCACCCAGTAGACGTGACGTGGATGGATGACATGTCAATCCTCCTCCAGGCTCCTTCCCCTGCCCTACTGGTTGAGCGCTTGCAGTTAGCAGCGACAACAACAATTGATGAATGTCTACAAGCTGTGCTCCTGCCCAATCTACGAGCGGGAAAGACCGAAGCAGTTGCCAGTCTTGTTGGCACTGGGGCGCATGGCACTGCCAGAGAGATCTTCTCCGGTGCACAGCCCTCGCTACCCCTTACATCCAGCCTATGGACTGGAGCACGACTCAGACTAGTAGCATCCTACAAGCACCTTGGAGGCACGATCCAAGCAGACGGAAGTCTTAAACGCGAGCTGAAGGCCCGCATCGGATCAGCGTGGCAGGCCTTCAACAAGCATAAAAAGCTCATTTTTGGATCTCCGGCTGTCAAGCTGAATGAGAAGGCTGTCCTTTTCACGTCGTTGGTTGAGTCCACCTTGTACTATGGAAGTGGAACCTGGTCTGGTGTTGGAGGCAAAGAACTAGCCAAGCTGCAAAGTTGCCTTGTGCAGATGTCACGGCACATGCTTCGCCCCAAGTTCAACTTCGAGCAAGCCTGCCATTTGAGCCAATCCTATGTCCTCTCGGTTGCCCGAGTAGCTAGTGCCACTGTTGCCCTGCATGTCGAAAGGTTGAGGCACTTCAAAGCGACTATCCTGAAGGCAACTGACGAACTCTGGGCCATCCTTCATTACGAGCAGGAATGGCTTCGCCTAGTTGATGAGTCTCTTTCCTGGTTTAGAGAGCAACACTCCAGGGCTGACTCTTGCAAAGATGAATGGCTAACCGGGACGGAGTTGTTGCCTACATAAGGGCAAACCCAACCGGCTGGAAGCGGGCTGTCAATAAGGCGAAGCAGACAGCCGTTCTAGCCGATCTTTGGGCCGCTGAGTTGCAGCAATACCGTGGTCTTGCCTTTCGGGCTTTCCTCACAGCTGGAGCCACAGTTCCTAGGGACATGGTTGATATAGCTAATCCCAGGGAGGTTTGCGGTGTTTGCAGGGTTGTCTTTGACAACCTTTGTTCTTGGTCACATCATGCCTTTAAACGACACGGCCGTGTCAAACTTGCACGCAAGCTTGTGCAAGGTACGCAGTGTCCCGTGTGCCTGAGGCAGTACCGCTCAAACCGTGACCTTTGCAACCACCTTTCATACAGTGCTCGGTGTCGACATGCGCTTGTGAACGCCGGTATTGCTGCCGAACCTGCACCGGGCGTTGGCAACAGGAAGTTTGATGATGGAAAGCAGTGTCAACTTCCTGTGACACAGGCACAGGGGCCTAATGTACCGTGGGACTTCACGCCAGTAATAGAAGAAGCGGACTCGCCGTGTGAAGAAATCCTCATGCAACTAGAAGACTGCTACTGCCACGACACAGGCCGTGTTGAGGACCAACGTCACCTAGCTGACATTTACAAGCGAGTCTTTATGTCCCAATGCCTTCAGGTTTCCCGCCTGCGGGCTACAGCCCGCGAATGGTGCTGCCAACTCCAGCAAGCCCTTGAGGAGGACGAGCAAGTCCCAATTCAATGGGCTAGCTGGCACCAGAGTCTTGCAAGACAAGTCTGCGACACTGACTTCGTCGAATGGTTCAGCCATGACTGTGACAGCCCGGGCCACTCCCTAGCCACCTTTCGGGACTCCGAGTCATTGACGGCATGGTTAGAGTTCCCGACCGGGCTTGTCCCTGTTGTCGAAGAGCCCTTGCTGCCCGGCATACGGTACTCCTGTTCACTTGCTAGGGAGACCTGGATCCTGACACCATTCAGACGCACTGTTCTTCATGAACAAGCACAGAGATGCCCAGAGTTGCTCTCCTTCCCAGAGGTACTTAGAGACCTTGCAGAGACAGAGTTCGCCCTTCTCTCATGCGAAGGACTGATTGGATCATTTGGACTTCCGCACCCTCTACGTTCCTTCCGGTCCATTTCTGAACCCATCGCGCGGCTCCGTCTCTTCTCTGACCTTGTTCGGGGAACCTTTTGTCTCTGGTTGCATCGAACCCCTGCCTGTCTCTGTATCCCAGCAGTCTCGTGTCCGACTGTTGAAGCATTTCGTAGGACGGCACCCTTCGCTAAATCTGTGAGGGGTGCGACTGTCCTTGCGAATTTTGAGATCAGGCACACTCACTGTTTCACCTTTTCTAATTAACGCAAGTCAAAGGGCTGCGTCCGACTCGGACTCAAAGCCACGAAAAGCGAAAAAGCGATATATTCATTTATGTATTTATCTCTATATATATATATATATATATATGTGTGTGTGTGTGCTTTGATCAGTTGAAGCTTCAAATTTCTATAGTCTGCCAAAAGCTTAATGACTGGCATCGTTTCCCAAGTTTTGACATCTTTGAGAACTATTTGTGGACTGTCTCTGTCACTCTTTCATACTCACAGCTTTCGTACGTACCGCCCTATCGTTTCCTATCGGGATCCGGTCTATCTCTTTTTGATGTTATGGGTGCAAGGCCCGATATGACCGCTTACACTTTGGGTCTTTGTGGTGCCGGGGTACCTTCCTAGGTTAGTCAGATCTGTTAATTATTCGAAACACGTCTTTGTGACTTATGATCCCGCATCTGCAATGGCTTTCACATTCGGTGCGGCGTTCAAGGTCTTGGATTGGCCACCGAGAATAGCCTACTCGGGCTTGGAGGTTTTGGGAAGCCCATGACCCCTGACTTTACTTCTCCCACCACAGTATTGCCCAAGATTTGGGCTCTCATGTTTCATGTTTCAACCCACCATCTCTTATCCGATTTTTCGGTGATTGGCACCCGTTTCAAGCTACTTTCTGAAAGTTGTCCAACATCTCAACTTCGTCTCGGCCCCGGCCGAAGCGGTCAGATGTTCCCGCAATGATTTTCTGTTTCCCCACCACTTAGTCCCTTAAAATTGAATTGGATCTCTTGTTTGCAACCCCTACGTCCAGAGATTCTGCTGGCGGAGACTGGGCTTTCGCCAAGCATACATACTCACAAAGCCCAGGCTCTGCAAAGGGCCCAAACCCGTACATGAACCGGAAGGAAGAAATCGAAGCGAACGGCTTAGGCAAGAGCCGTGCCCGTCCTATCAACCTTCTCTTTGAGGGCCAGGCGTGCGCTTCACATTTTCTTTGTAGGACGCCAAGGCCATGTCCTTAAGCAGCAGCGGATGGAACTCGGGGATGGAACTCAGCAGCTCGGATCCCGTCGTGGTGTTTTTTCAGCTCCAGGTTCTGCAAGATCTTGTTGGTTGCCTTTTGGGGCACCGGCGCGATGTCTAGGCGCACAGCAGGCAGCTCCAGGCTTCGGACCATTTGTTGGTCAAGCTCCATCCTCCAGTGTTCCTTGCGCTGCCTTTCGTACCTTGTGAGTGCTCTCGTCTCTCCTGGACTTATAAGTAGAGATTCCAGCTCACTCTTCCACTTCGGGAAGAGAAATGAAGGTCTCTGTGAAGAGAGGGAAGCTGTGCGACGAGGCTGCCTGCAGGCCCAGGCCCAGGCCCAGGCCCAGGCCCAGGCACGCGCCAAGTAGGGGAGCGGACGCTCGCACCTCGATGTACTCCCTCCGGGCCTCGGCACGGCGCGCCTCGCAGCGACGGGCCGCCCACTCGCAGCTTCCCGGAATTCCGGGCGGGGGCGGGGGAGGGCCTTGTTGTTCTCGATCTGTGCCAAGACCTCATTCATCCGAGAGCGGAGGAGGCAAAGAGGCGCGAGGCGCGAGTCGGCGCGGAGCTGCAGGCGCCGCTCCGAGCCGGCCTGCGCCTGGTTCTTGGCACACAGGTCCTTCTTCTGCAGCCGCTCCGTTGCTTCCTGACATCTAATCATCCAAGGGCTCTCCCTAAATCTGGAGAGAGACGAGATGTGGGGGCTGCTTCCGCGACGAGGCACATCATTCATTCCACCCTGCACGGTCTGTTGCCAAGCCTGCGACACAACGCGCTATAGGCCCGCTAGGCCCGCTAGGCCGCGAGGCTACACACAACGACATGCAGACTTCGACCGGGTGCACTCGCGCCCCTCGCGCCTTGGCCTCCACCACGGCCTGCAACTCTCGGGACGGCGGGACCGGAGGCGGTCCGGAGCTCGGTCGGCGCGCCTTCTTCGCATCCTGTCGCAAGGAATCCAGGTAGCGCTGGAAGGCGGCATCCTGAGCTAAACCCCCAGGCGCAGTCGTCGCAGTCGTCGCAGTCGCAGCTGCGCCTGCACCGCCTTCTGTTGCTGCTCCAGAGTCAGGCCCTCGTCCCTCGCAGTGAAGGCTTTTTATATGTGTACGCGGAGCTTGCAACCTCCAAACACCTGCGCGATCGATGTCGCCGTCGAGGCCGCGAAAATATCTCCTCAGGAGCAGGAACAGGAACAGCGACAGCGACCAGACGCTGCTCAAGGCTAAGCACTCGGCGCTGCTGCATCGAGAGGCTGAGCTCCCAGACCCAGACACCTGTATGCTGGCGGTGCCAAGCCTGCTCCCTGCCTGCTCCCGGCCTGCGCCCTGCATGCCCTGCCAGATCCCGTCCTCGCTAGCTTCCCGGACGGCTGAGAGGTTTGCTTCGCTCCCTGCGCAGCCAGGACCCTTCAAGCGAATTTTACATTCCATCTTTTCACTTTTCGCCTCGAGACTGCATGGCTGCTTGCCCGCTGCCCCCCCGGGACCCCGCTGTGAGCCAAAGCAGAGAGACGAAACGCGCTCTGAACAAAAACTCCCCGCATTTCACCGCGGGACGGACCGGGACCCTCCGGGACCCTCCGGGACCCTGGCCGACATAGGCTTTGGCTTCTGCTGCATGCTGCTTGCAGACCTGCTCCACCTTGTAGCAACGCAGCCATGCGCGGCCCCCGGCCCCCGGGGGCCGCAACAGCTCCGGGGCCCCGGACCCTGTTCACCTCTGCGCGCATCTGCTCCAGGGATCGGGAGATCCCAGAGTCCTGCGCGCCGTGCGCCGACCCGAGCTGCGAGGGCCGAGCTGCGCTCTTGTGGCTCTCTCTCTGAGCTCCGGTGCGCCAAGGCCCAGAAAGCTGCCCTTATAAGCGGGCTGCACAGCACAAGCACAGCTGCGCAGCAGATGCAGTGACTGTTTCCGGAGCTGTGATCCGGACCGGAGCTGTGACGCCGGGTGGGAGCTGCAGGCCCCTGCACAGCGTCAGAGCTTCGCAAGATGCCGGCGAGCGGTGCCTCCGGGGCTTGGACAGACCTGGTCGGAGGCCTTTCAAGGAGGAAAATTTAACGACATGTCAGAGTCAGACTTTGTGCCGTCCTTGCATCGGTGGAGGGCCTCACGAAAAAAAGGCCAAGGGCGTGCAAAGCTCAGAGGCGCAGGCGGGCGCCCTGCCTGGAACTGGTGGCGGTCCCGGGAGCACGCGCCCGGGGCCCGAGGGCGCGCCGAGGCCCAAGAGCCCAGGCCCAACGGGACCGCCGCCGCCAACACCTCACAGAAACTGCAACAAAGAAAATTGGCAGTTTCAGAGTTCTCGGCTGCCACACACACACACACACAAAGTGCAGTGCCTGGAGCAACAAGGGGTCGGAGAGGTGGTGGCCCTCCAGATGGCCCTCGAGCTGCGCCCTCAGCACAATGCAACCACGAACATAACCAGACATGTATTCATGTGCTAACATATTACAAAGGAACATATAAACACAAAAAGAGGTGTGTGTGTGTGTGTGCACATCCAGAAGAAAAGCCCCACGTTGTCAACGGTAGTTCTCGTCTGCTGTCCTAGTTGCGAGAAGACGCATGCAGACAATCCAGAAAAAAACATTTTGTTAACGGTAGTTGTCGTCCGCTGTCCTAATTGCGAGAAGAAACATGCAGACAATCCAGCAAAAAAACATTTTGTTAACGGTAATTGTCGTCCGCTGTCCCAACTACATGCAGACAATCCAGAAAAAACAGCACCATTTTGTTATCGGCAGTTGTCGTGTGTTTGAGAATGATAATTCAAGCCAAACCCCCGTCCCTTTGGTCCAGGGTCCATTTAAGAATTCAAATAATTCAATCAGTTCAAAACATTCAAATCCCTGATTCCCTGATTTGAAGTAGTTGAAAATTTGAATTTTCGGGTCCATTTGAGAACTGGATTAAATCAAAGTTCAAATCCCTGATTTCAATTTATTGGAATGTTTGAATTCTCAAATAGGCCCGAGAATTCAACTAATCCAAATCATTCAAATCCCTGATTCCCTGAATTGAATAATTTGAAGTGTTTGAATTCTCAAATAGGCGCGCGAATTCATACAATTTAAGTCAGAGCCCCGTCCAGGATCCATTTTAGACTCCAAATAATGCAGATAGTTCAAGTCCCTGATTCACTGGTTTGAGTTAATTGAATTCGCGCGCCTGTCTGAGAGTTCAAATAATTCAATCAATTCAATTCCCTGAATTGAATTTTTTGGATTATTACACTTCTCGAACAGGCCCGAGAATTTGAATTCTCAAACAGGCCCGAAACTTCAAAAAATTCACTTCAGGAAATCAAGGATTTGCATTATTTGAGTTACTCGCAGTAGCTGAATTCTCGAACATGTTGGCAGGCCCGAGAATTCAAATGATTCAAACAAGACCTCAGCCTTTTTGCTCAGGATCCATTTACGAATTCAAACACTTCAATTCCCTGAATTGTATTATTTGGAATGTGTTTGAACTCTCACTTGGGCCCGAGAATTCAAACAAATCAAATCGCAGATTCCCTGATTTGAAGTATTTGAATCAGTTGAACTACAGCAACAGCACTGCTTAAGCAATCACTGGTTAAAAAAAATAGAGCCCCTCGGACAGCCGCGCGACGAATTTTTTCGAAAAAATGCACAAATTGAAAATAAGAAATCCAAGGTACCCTGACCTCGGCGTGCCAATTTCTGTTTTTGCTCTTCTCATTTTGTCTTTGCCATTTATGTTCGCACAAACAGGAGAACCAAGAAACTAAGTTACTCGATTTCGTATTCCAAAAGCTGGACACTTTCTTGCGCCGGCCGGAACACCCAAAAATAAGAAATTGAGCCCCTCAATTTCCTAATTTAAGAAATCGAGCCCCTCAATTTCTTATTTTGGTGGTTTTTTTGACTATGACAAAGCCTTATACAGCCTTTATTGAGCCCTTATTCTTCTTGTTATTCTTCTTCTTCTTCTCCTGAATCCCTTCTTCTTCTTCTTTTTGTTTTCAATTTTCGCAATCGCAGAACGTCTTTCCAAACCATGATCTGGTCCACAGCAACAGTTTAATCGACTCATAATTGACTCGTCCTGGATCTAAAACTTCATTTTATTCCCACAAGCCCTGTTTTCATAGGGCTTTTTTTATGCAACACTGTTGCATCAGATCAGAAAAGGATTGCTCCATTATATACCTCTTTTCGAAGCATACCCCTATAGCGACGACTCCCGCTATCACGTCGAATCGCTGTATGGGAACGTTTGGCTCGTGCTGGTATGGAGCCTTTGGAGCCCTCCAAAGCTGTTTATTAAGGCTTAATAAAGCCCTTCTTAAGCCCTAATCAGGCAAGTCCAGACCCCCCTGAGAGGCTCAATTTCTTATTTTGGTGGGTTCTGGGCTTGTCAAATAAGGGCTTGATAAGGGCTGTATTAAGCCCTGTAGAATTCCCTCCCATACTTAGCTCTGTGGTGAGGTTGAGTTCCAGTCCTAGTTGTTAGTGATGAATTTGCTAAGCCATGACGGCTCTGAAAGGACTGAGACCGATCAAGCATCAAGCTTTATGCATGAGCTACAGGCATAGGACTTGCCCGAAGGGCGGTTAACGAAGTCAGAGCACTCGTGCATGTCTGTGTGAAAACAAGTAGCTTTGTAAGCCCATGGTGATTTGATCTCGCTTCCTTCGGTGGCAACAACATTGACGATACATGGCATCTGCTACTGAAGCAGACAACCCAAATTCGCATGACCAAGATCTACGAGAACAACAGGTCATGAGTAGCCCAAATGCTCGTGACACAAGCTCTGCTCAGGAAGGTGGTTCGACTGTTCATCAAGGAGGCCGGAACGTGACGTCAGGCGCTCAACACTGCCCTCAACTGGGATGCCTCCGCTGCAAGGCACAGTTCGTGTTGATGAGACGCAAGCTGGCCGGGTCCTGTTGAATGGGACGAATGGTGGGCGGAACAGCGAGATGCTAAGCTCATCTGGAAATCGTCGTGTGGAGCAACGGGGGCCTAGTGAGGGTCCTTTGACACGTCCGCAGCCGACTTCAGAACCTCAAGGAGGATTTATTGGAGGTCTACAAAGGGTTGTGCAGGCAGTTGAGAACGTAGTGCAGATGAGTGGGGCAAGAGCAGGAGCCTCACCGACGCATCATGACGCGGTCGAGTGCGCATCGGTGAAGTCATCGGTGAGTGTTGATGCGAGACCACCCTCTGCCAGTGCGGTTCCTGAGACGCCTTTGTTTTCAGAAGCATCGCTGACTCGCGTGAGACAGATGGAGGCGACGGCTCCTCTTCTGTTCCCGAGTGTTGAGAATGCTCCTGCTGGACCACCATCGTCTTCGTCAAGTGACATCCAGGCGGTGGAGAGGCAGTTGGCGGAGTTCTTAGCTGAGCGGGACGAAGAGGGAAGAAGATTGAAAGCCCAAGTTGAGGCGCTTGCAGTAGAGAATAGTGAGCTTAGGAACAGAATGTATGAGAGTGTACAAAGAGAACAGGTAGCACCAAGGGTGAGCTCGGGAGGTCAGGGCTTTCCTAGGTTTGGTTGGTTGAGTAGAGGCTTGGGAAATTTGATGGGTTCAGGTTCCTTATCGCGCTGGATTTTGAGCCTGGATGCACCTCCTCACGGTTTGGATTTGACCTATCCTCGCACCAATCCCTCGGAATTGGGAATCCTCACATCCAGGCACAGCTAGGTCCACATGTGCCAGATCAGGCAGGTCCTCAGGTCCTCAGGTCCAAGTGCAGCTAGGTCCGCAGGTGCCAGCTCAGGCAGGTCATCAGGTCCCGACGCAGCTAGGTCCACAGGTCCACATGTGCCAGCTCAGGCAGGTCATCACATCAGGTCCAAGCGCAGCTAGGTCCGCAGGTGCCAGCTCAGGCAGGTCATCAGGTCCAGGCGCAGCTAGTTCCGCCGCCAGCTCAGGCAGGTCATCAGGTCCAAGCGCAGCTAGGTCCGCAGATACTAGCTCAGGCAGGTCATCAGGTCCGAGCCTTGAGTGTTGTCCTAACAGGGATGGCACAGTTACAGGGTTTGATGACGGATATTGCCACGTCACCAAAGAATGCTCCTCGCCATGAACTAAGAAAAACCAGGGGTAACGTCCCTGCCGGACTTGCCCGCGTTAGGCGGGGATGCCTGCTTGGCCTTCTCTGATGCACAACGCCAGGCCAGCGCTGGGTAATGTCAGTGATAACTCGGAAGAGTTATGGGGTATGGTTATTAGTGAAGCGACCAGCTGGTAAACCATTACTTGAAGTTAGATCCGCTTGGAAGGTTGATGTCTAAGCCTGACACATCCCCGCAGCTAGCGGATCCAAGGTGGCAGAGGCTTTCCAGGCGCACTGAAACTATGATACTTCAAGTCACACCTGTATTGGTTAAGGAAGAGATAAGCGCGGCAAGAGTGTCTGGTTTGCTACCGTTGATGTACAAGTTGTTCGTGGTTTACGGGCCAGGGTCGCTGAATGAACGGGAGATTGGGCTGAGAAACATCCAAGACCCTCCGGCTGGAACAAATGTCCAAGATACGATAGACTTAGATCACCTCAGGAAATGGAAGAGGTGGTGCGCCAGGATGACTGACCTTGGAGGAGTGCTTCCGGACTGCGCTCTCCAAGTGAAGGCGATCACGAAGATATCTAAGGCAGCTTTGCTCCAGAACCCAGAGGTGAGTTTTAGGATTAGCTTGAGCCGAGCCTCTCTACAGGCCGGACAATGAAAAGGTGGTTAAGTTGCATGCGCAAATCCTCAGTGTGTTGGAGGCCATCCATCACCGAGCACCTAAGGATAAGGAGACTCCAGATAAGGGTAAGGATAACTCTTCTCAAGCCAAGATAAAGGGAGTAGAGGCAGCTGCAGCAGGAATACCGAAAACACCTAAGCCCCCAAAGGCACCACCGAAAGGCACTCCCCCTCCGAAGCTACCGGAGCGGAGAATCCAGGGTAAAATCCCGCGCGCCTTCTTCCTTCAGAATAATGGATGCAAGAAAGGGGCGGACTGCACGTTCGGCCATGACTGGTCAGGGAGTCAGAACCACAAGGCGGCAGAGTGCCGTTCAGGTGAGCCCGGGTGGAAAACCTAATGCAAAGGGTAACACGAGCGCAAAGGCAGCGGCGCAAAGGCCAACGTCGCAAACGCAGATTAAAAGCATGCTCGCAGATGCAGCTCGGACACTGCAGCAGGCGATGCCAGAAGGTCAGGTTCCGTCATCTGCAGATCCGAATGTAGTTCAGGCCGTTCCTATGAGTGGGCCGGCGCAACCGCCAGCAGGGGTGAATAATAATCAAGGCCCTCCACCAACCCAAGGTACACCGGTTACCCTAGCGTCCCCAAGTGCTGCAATGGGATACCTTGAGGGAGCTAGCTAGGGACCACGAGGTTAAGGTTGTGTCTGTGAAGGGCCATGTG